TTGTCGCTCTATATTTATATCCTTTGTTGTTGCAGCTTCATACGGTTGTGGATACTTCTCAACCCCGGGAACAAACGGATAGACTGATGGAGGACTTACAGTTGACGGCGTACCATGACATCTCTAAACTTGATTTGGCATGTATTCGGTTGTGGTTGGTACTTTGTATTCCTTGTTTTCTGAGTTCGCTGTTCACAGACTGCTATGCTGAAATGCACACACCCGATGTTCTATCATTTGCCTCATTCTTTTCTAGGTCTTATGTAGGGCATGTGTTCCACTGCCCAACCTTCAAAACAACATAAATATGTTGACTGTTTGGAAGATCTGGAATGTAATGAGCTATAGCAAGAATGCATGGCTTATTTAATTAATGTTTACTACTTTGGTTTTAATTGATGTTTACTACTTACTATTACACAGTTAGAATGGCATTCCTCCTGCTGTATCTATTTGGTTTTTGGCTGCCGTATTTATTACTCAATGATATTCCCCATTGTTTTTGCTCAGTCATTTAATCTTCTTCTGTACATGGCTTTTGCTTAGTCATTTAATCTTCTTCTGTACACGTATGTGGTGTCCACTAATAGTTAGGGGTGCAACAACTAGTTTTGGAGTTTGCACACTATGTTCGTTATGTCATGCCCGTGTGCACATTAGCACACAGGTGTATGCATACATTTGATATTACTTGAATTCCCAACCATCTGCGTTACGCGATGTGCACACATTCGTGTGTGCATGTGCAGCCCAATGGTTAACACCGTTCTAATTATATCATGTTTCAATCTTGAACATTGCTCCAAACATGTGGCGATTTGAGTATAAGAAATCTATCGGAATTGTCAGAGTATGAGTTTGGTGGTGGTGCGTTTCCAATTTTTGTTTTAAACTAGTAGTTGGGGTGTTGTCGGGGATGAACCAACCGTGCATGCTGTTGATTTCCGTAGGTGCATGTGTGCACCGTGTGACTAGTGTGTGTGCACACAACAATACTAACGCTCAATTCCGTTCATGCACCATATTATCACATCCACGTACTGCATCATTCAAATTAGTTAAATCTAATTAGTTATCACATCCACGTACTGCATCCTTCAAATCTAATTAATTCATTAACAAATAAACAGTTTCGCACGATATCACATCTAATTAATTCACTAATAAACATACAGTTTCGCACGATATCACATCTAATTAATTCACTAATAAACAAACAGTTTTATAGTATATTCAGTACGCATATATTCCAACTTGGCCGTCCCTGTTTTTTCGCATCGTACTGTTTCTAACATCAAACTCAACCACTTTAGCATATGCTCTGTAGAACTATATCCCTTCTTCTACTGTTTTGAAACGCTGCCCAGTGTAAGGTTGCGTTTCTTGCGTTTCTTTATCGAATTCAGGTCTCCAATGCTTTGTACCATCAGCGGACACTTCCATTAGACATTCATCTAGCTCACCATCATTCTTGTCGCCACCTATGAAGCACAACAAAAAGCCAAATGATCATCATTCTCTTACTGTAAAATATCACATTTTCTGCATAACACTTTAACATTGAAATATCTCCTTCGTGGGGGTTGATAAGTGTTTCATCATGTGCGCACCCCGCCTTTAAGGCGTCTGCACAACATTAACCCTAGTCTATCAGATCGGCCTTTCCCGCGATGTATATTCTCTGGCAAACTCATGCAGCCTCACACCCATCTGTAATAAGTCCATTTACTACATGGCTTGTTACACCCTAATCCGTAGGCTATCCTTTTTTCCCACAAACATTTTAGCATGCACATGGTTCGTTTCGGGTTCACCTGGGTGTATATATGTGCATGCCCCCGTGTAAGTGGGTGCACTATAGAGCCCAGATTGTGGGAATCTAGTTTGCATTCGTTTATTGAGTGTTAAACCATAATCACACTCACTTCTGCGTAGTCCCTTTTCTACATATGCGCACTCGGTTTGTTTTCGTTCCCCCATCCATCAATTCGTTAACATGTGTTCATGAATGTGTTTTGGAAACCCTTATACCCCTTTCATGGATTGCTATGAAATAAAATAATTCATGCAGTCATTACAACACATCACTTCGGTTTCAGGAGTGCTTACATGTTTATTCATCTTCTCTTCTCTCGCTTCTGGCCGATATTGTCGTACTTTTGCGCTCGCTCTGAAGGGTATTACAGATGCAGAGTATGATTTGTCGACGCCCTCGCTCGCGGTGAAGGGAAATACTGATGCTAATTTGAATCCTGCCTTAATTAAAACTCCCTAGATCATGCGTGATTTTCTTTAATTATATTAACCAGATTTGTATTACGTAGACTTTACCATTTTTACCCCTATTTTAAATTCTGATCCTAATTAGTAGATGAATCGTGGGTCAATCTCTGTAGCCCAAAATACATAATCCTATGGTCCCATTTTGTCCACACGTTTGAATTTTAAGGGTGTTTGCATGTGAATGCAACCCTATATATATATATATATATATATATATATATATATATATATATATATATATATATATATATATATATATATATATATATATATAATTTAATAACATTAATAATTTTTAATAACTCATATGCAATTTCAATTTTACATTAAATTTTGAAAATTTTCCACTTGTAAATTGTAATACCAAGCCTAGTGCAAAATTCGACCATTAAAAATTTATAAATTTTACTTTAACAATTAAATATTCTCGCGACAGAAAAGAACGATAGTCACATGTTCAATCGCCAAACTCAAAAGTCAAATCTATCTTTGCGCCAAACATCGCAACAGAATTAATTTCCGTTATTGATTCCATCGTCGTAATACGACGGACATGTGGGGCGTTGCATTTTCTGTCGCCAATGTATTAACATATTGGCGACGGAATCGATTCTGTCGTCTCATTCTGTAGGAAAAATAAACTTTACTTAAAAAATGAATATTTTAGTGACGGAAAGAACGATCGTCGCAAGTTATGTCGCCAACCTCAAACGTCAAATCTATCTTTGTGTCAAACATCGCAACAAAATTAATTTTCGTTGCTGATTACATCGCCATAGCGCGCCACATGTGTGGGGTGTCAGATTTTCTATCGCCTGTGTATTAACATATTTGCGACTGAATCGATTTCGTCATCTCATTCTATAGCAAAAATAAACTTTGGCTTAAAAAATTAAATATTTTAGTGATGGAAAGAACGATCGTCGCAAGTTCTTTCGCCAACCTCAAATTAAACGTCAAATCTATCTTTTAGCCAAACATTGCAACAAAATTAATTTTTGTTGTCGATTCCATCGCCATAGTGCGACAAACATGTAGGGTGTCGTATTTTATTCGCCAATGTGTCAACATATTGGCGACGGAAATAATTCTATCGTCCCTTTCTGTAGCAAAAATAAACTTTACTACAAAATTTAATTATTTTTGCGACAGAAAAAATGCCTGTCGCAATTTCCGTCATCAGCTTCTGTCGTCAATTCATTGGTGCATAGATTACGTGAGAATATTTACCACTTCGCCAAAAATATCGCAACGGAATTTATTATCGTCGCTGATTTTGTCGCAAAACCGCGATGGAACCATCAGTCGTTGTCTTTTCTGTCGCCGTTGTGGTGACAGAACTTAATTCTGTCGCAAAATCCGTCATCAAAATGTTGGGGCCAAAATTTCCCTTGTTTTTTCCTCACTTTGTGCCAAAAATCGCTACGGAATTGAATTCCATCACCATTTTCGACGCAAAATTGTGACGAAACACGTTCCGTAGCAAAAACCGTCACGAATCAACAACGGATTACATTTCGTCGCGATGTTTCCATCGCGATTCATGATTTTTCTTGTAGTGCACCTTATTCTTTTCCCACCAAATTACAATTCTTTTCCATCATAATTCATTCTTCCAACCAAATGGTAAATTATGCCCTGGAAACGTGTTCACCATTCATGGTGAACACGGGTCCAAACGGCGCCGTTTTTACGTAAAAAAAAATAAATAAAAAATCACTAATGTGATGTTAACAACGCGCGTTTGGTCAGATTATGAATTTTCTGTTATGAGATTATGAATGTACTGTAAATTCATAATCTCATAACAGAAAATTCATAATCGCATAAAAAAAAAAATTTATTAAATTATGAATTTTCTGTTATGAGATTATGAATTTACTGTAAATTCATAATCTCATAACAGAAAATTCATAATCTCAAAACAGAAAATTCATAATCTCAAAACAGAAAATTCATAATTTCATAACAGAAAATTCATAATTTATGAATGTTGAAGAAGCTTGTGCTACAGAGGAGCAGCCATGGTTTCGGACGGAAATGTGTAGGCATGGTTCCAAAGTGAATGTGCAGACATGGATTCATAATTTATGAATGTCCGAAATCATTGCTCACCTCAAATTAAAGTGAAACCGCAAAATTTAAAAATGAAAAAAAAAAGTCACGCGATTAATTAAAAATAAAGAAAAAAGAAGATAACGGTGCACTAACACCGTTGGGACCGTATTCAACGTGGATGGTGAACACGGTTGTATGGCATAACGATTGCAACCAAAGAGCTAGGGCCTTGATTTCTAACCTTTCCTCATATGTACCAAAAGGCCTTGATTTCTAACCTTTCCTCATGTACCAAAAAAAATGCATTATTTATGCATTTCTTTAAGTCAACTTTGAAGTTTATGCCTGAAAATATATCCCACATAAAATTGCAGAAAACTGAAAAGATCTTCTGAAGGGTATAATTTTATTTTATTAATCAACTGTATAAATCATAAATTCATAATCATAAACAGTTCCTAATACACAGGCAGAAGGGAAAAAAAAAAAAAAAAAAGAAAGAAAACAAAATAAACAAAAATTGTGGAAGATGAAAATAAGCTTATCTGCAGCCTAAAAGGCTGATTTAGATTAAAAGTTTAAAACTCTACTAAAATACATAGAACCGACAGTCAACGCCGGAATCCCTCCTCAATCTTTGTACTTCTTCCACAATACACTTATTTTTTTTCTTGAATTTCTCCGAGCGAAATTACGAAATTAGGCCTGTGCATCGCCCTTCTTCCCCAGCGAATCGCCTCCGCCGCCGCTCTCGCCCAATAGCTTCCCGCTTTCTTCGTCTGTCTGCTGCTGAGCTTTCTTCTGAGCTTCTTTCGCCTTCAATGCCTGTAGTTTTGAGTGGTTATAGAACGCAACTCCCAAGAAAGCCAATCCATACTCGAGAAGATTGACCGGAGTTACAGTGTCTTTGATTACGGACCACGAGAACGCGATTAGGGCATCCCAATAGCATATTTTAAAAGGATTTTGGAACAGTAAAAAACTAGGAACAAAATTTTTAACAAATGAGAAGGCTAAGGGGTCGTTTACTAACTTGGAAAAATGGAGGATTTTCCAAAAAATTGGAGAAATTGAGAAGTGGAAAAATGGAAAATGGAAAACTTGTTTACTAAAATCATCCTTCCAATTGTCCAACTCTTCTCCATTTTCCAAGTCTATGTATAATTTTGGAGAGATCCAATTTGGACTTCTCCAAATGGAGAAATGGGAGAAGATGCGCGTGAACAGTGCTTATGATTGGGAGGGTGGGTGTTCGATTCCTATTACATGCATTATGGAGTGGTTTTGTTTGTTCCTTTCCGTTCCTTCTTTTTCCTTTGTTTTCGAAACTTATTATTATTATTATTATTATTATTATTATTATTATTATTATTATTATTATTATTATTATTATTATGATACCCGTGCGATGCACGTGGAATAATTTGTAAAATAAATGTTATATTATGTTAATAAAATATTAGAAGAATTACATGAAAAGAATATAATTAATCTCATACGACGAAGTAAATTTTCAAGTATGTATATATATATATATATATATATATATATATATATATATATATATTTATTTATTTATTTATTTATTTATTTATTTATTTATATCAAGGTGTGTAGTTAGTATGATAATGCATGGATTAAATATTTAGAATATTAAAATTCTAAACAACACATTTATAATAGAAGATCAAATGAAAAAGAAATTCCTTTTGAAAAAGAAATATACAAAATAAACTCAATGTTTTTTTTTTTTTTTTTGCAATTTCTACACACATTGAAGAACCTTCTACAATGAGGTTTTGTCAAATCTTTCATCATATTCAGTCATTCACAAATCTTTCGTTTAGATATGCACATTGGTCCACTTCCACTAGATTTGTTAAGGATCATCATATAACCATTGAGGAAGCAAATAAAATAAAAAAAAAAAAACATAAACTCTTTGCAAAATAAAGGAAATAAGAAAATACAAAACCCTGCATAAGAACAACCCTGAATAAGCATTCTCTTCAAAAAAAAAAAAAAAAAAAAAAAAACCCTGCATAATGTAGGCATTATCTATACCACTTCCAACCAGCAGAGGCGCTGCAGCTACCCAAACGCTCATTGAGTCGTCACCATCTTCAACCTCTACCCTGTGCAAGTAATTGAAACATCCAAATCCTTGCCTCTTCTTCGCATGTTGCCTCGCCTCCGCCATGTACGGTTTCTCCACCATGGCCAGCCGCAGTTTTCCTTGTGTGGTCATTGATCGACCGCGACTGCAACGCATTTAACACCTACGCGAAATCCAAGAACCCAATCCTGCGACCACTATGCCTCTGCTATATATATATATATATATATATATATATATATATATATATATATATATATATATATATATATACAAAAATAGCCATCATTCAAGATAGAACAAAAATAGCCACATGAACAATGCAAACCTTTTCACCAGAAAGCTTTTCCAGTTTATCAATGGATCCATAACAACAATCTCCTCGCCATCCTCACTAATCCATACAGAACGTGGAGTTCCCCAGAACTTACTTCGACTAACAGCCCAATCCCTTGCATTTTCCTATCAAAGAACACACCTCATTTAAAATATCAAGTGATAAATTTATTATCTGAGTTGTCACAGTACCTAATCTGCTACTTCTTCTTTTCTTTTTCGCCTGAATGGGATCGGAATCCGAACCTGGTCCATTTCCTTCCCGCAATCTGAGACCTACGTGAAATCCATGGACCCAATCTTGCAACCACTATGCCTATATATATATATATATATATATATATATATATATATATATATATATTAATGCAAAGATGATATCGAGAATTGAACAGGTACCTTGAGCATAACAATAGATCATTACTCTTTATCAATAAATGTTTTCTAGAAATGTTTTCTAGAAATAGGAAAAGACATATGGATAAATGAGTTGCTTGCCTAGGAAATCTAATCCAGGAACATACACCATTAATAACATCTTTTATACGGAATAATTCTTCCAAAAGGGCCCACACCTCGGCCCAACAGAGCGGTGGGAGGTTGTAAATCATGGTGACTCAACTGAACATTAATCACAGAGGCTAGACCGATGGTGACTCAACTGAACATTAATCACAGAGGCTAGACCGGTGCTCACTGCGCACAAGGAGCCCCCCTCACTTTGAGAGGTTGCTCCCACACTGCCGCTGGTGAGACTCGATCCCTGGTCATTCTGAGATTTTGCTCAAATATCACATTTACCAAACGGTGTCGTATTGCTTGGGCGGGAATTGGAGCCATTTTTTGTGGCCAATACATCTGGCTTTATTATAGATAAGATTATTATTATTATTATTATTATTATTATTATTATTATTATTATTATTATATAATTATTATTATATAATAATAATTATTATTATTATTTTCTATTTTCATTTTTCCTCCTCTTTATGCACACAAATTTGTTATTATTATTATTATTATTATTGTTATTATTATTATTAAATTATTATTATTATTATCATTATTATTATTATTATTATTATTATTATTATTAAATTATTGTTATTATTATTACTATGGCTCCTCTGGAAGGAATGTCACTTTGAATGAACTCATGAAATTTGACTAACATTTTATTTTATTTTAAGCATATGTATATATCATAATGGCATAATTGCGATGAATGTGGTTCATATTTTCAATGAGCATGGAAGACAATCATAATAATATACTAGGCTAATTAAAAGAGCACATGTACATTTGAGCGCATAATATGCCTACTAACTTCTGTACAGAAATGAACGCCCCAGGGGGGGCGTTTGATTCATGCTATACTCATTACTGAGTAGTTTTGTTTCCTTCTTTCTTTTCCTTTGTTTTCGTTTAACTTCTTCTTCTTCTTCTTATTATTATTATTATTATTATTATTATTATTATTATTATTATTATTATTATTATTATTATTATTATTATTATTATTATTATTATTATTATTATTATTATTATTATTATTATTATTATTATTATTATTATTATTATTATTATTATTATTATTATTATTATTATTATTATTATTATTATTATTATTATTATTATTATTATTATTATTATTATTATTATTATTATTATTATTATTATTATTATTATTATTATTATTATTATTATTATTATTATTATTATTATTATTATTATTATTATTATTATTATTATTATTATTATTATTATTATTATTATTATTATTATATTATTATTATTATTATTATTATTATTATTATTATTATTATTATTATTATTATTATTATTATTATTATTATTATTATTATTATTATTATTATTATTATTATTATTATATTATTATTATTATTATTATTATTATTATTATTATTATTATTATTATTGTTATTATTGTTATTATTGTTATTATTGTTATTATTGTTATTATTGTTATTATTGTTATTATTGTTATTATTGTTATTATTGTTATTATTGTTATTATTGTTATTATTGTTATTATTGTTATTATTGTTATTATTGTTATTATTGTTATTATTGTTATTATTGTTATTATTGTTATTATTGTTATTATTGTTATTATTGTTATTATTGTTATTATTGTTATTATTATTATTATTATTATTATTATTATTATTATTATTATTATTATTATTATCTTTGTTGTAGAAATGTACAAATTCTATATAGAATGATTGTATTTAACAAAATAGAAAATCTGAGAAATGAAAAATTGGAAGAATGGAGAAATGAAAAACTGGAGAAATGGAAAAGGAAAACTGGAGAAATGGAGAAATGGAAAATTGGAAATAGAAAAACAGAGAAATGAAGTAAACGACCCTAAATCTTGGTAACATCTTTCTCCTGCAAAATATGGGATTTTGCAGGTGAAAAGTAAAAAAGAAAAACTGACTGTTAGGGATACGCGCTCATGGCTGCTTGGGATTCACACTCATTGGACATTTAATTTAGCTTTTGTTGTTTTTATTTTTTAAGCGGGCTAACGGCCAGCTGCTTTCATTTTATTTTTTTTTTAATATTTCTAGCCGGAAACGGTCAACTTGTTTTTATTTTTTTAAAGTTTTTTTTTTTATTTTGTTATTAAATTTGTACATAGTAAAATTATATTTTTTAAAAATTTGTAAATATTTATAATTATAAATTTATTTTAATTTTGATATGTGTAATTTAAATATAATAAAAATAATAATTATAATTATAATTTTTACAATAATAATAAATAAATAATTAATTAAAATTTAGTAGGAGCCAATCTTTGACCACGCCGGCAACATTCATTGTCAGAGCCGAAGTCTTGCCGACGAGCAGGAAAACGGCGAGATTGAGGGCGAATGCGCAGAGGGAATTGGTCCCGAAGACGGTGAAATCTAATCGGAAACTGGAACTCTGTCTCAAGACGGGGAATTCAACGAGGAGCCATGGAATGGAGAGGAAAAGGAGACAACTCGGGGCGACATAGTACAAGGAAGTAATGGGGTTTAAGCTGATTCCCTTTGAAGTGAGCAAGATCTGGATCATGACCAATCGGGTGGCTTCAATCGCGACGGCGAGGTGTTATATATACACTAGTCTAACTATACTGAACCATAATATACGAGAAACCTGACCTCGTATGATAGCGGAAGCGTAGCCGTGTTGATCTCCAACCATAGTTGATGTTCCTGTTGTGTTGCCTCTTAACGGTAGACCGTTAGCCATGTTTTGCCTCAGACCTGACTCAGAACCCTAGATGGTGTATTGGTGTCTATTGAGCAGTCTGAGTACCATAACTGAATGTGCTATCTAATCCATAATCCTGTATCCCATCAATCTAGGTTTATATTAGGCACAGAGTTTGGTTGACTAACAACTACTAGTTATTAAGTCCAACCAGACCACTTAATAAGCCTAGTCAACTTGCACCACTTAATTAAGGTCTTAAAATATAATATATAATATATATTATTAGGGAAAATCTTACATTCTCCCACTTGGTGCAAGTACCAGCACAACCTTCATCAAAGAACAAAACACACGAATCATAGTGACATGTCCTCTATTTAATCAGAGTAATATCTGTTGTGGTCACATGCATTTTAATTCTCCAACTTAGGTCCTTTATGAACAAACCCTATGTTTATTCTCGGTACCTTAAGGGATGTTTCTCAAAATACATTATGTGCACAACTGAAGGAGAAAACACATCCAAATTGTACAAAAGAGTACACTGAATGATCTCTAAATCTTTATAAGCATGCCTTAAGTAGAGATCTCTTAATGTTAGCATAATACTAAACTATATTCCATGACTTCTGTATAAGTTAACTTTAAGTACTATCTCTAACGGCTAAGAGCTTGGAGTTAACACGTCTATTACTCCCACTCATCAAAAATAGCCAAAAGATAGTCAAGTCACAGAAGCATTCCAATAACTTAGACAATAAACCAAAGGTCTAAGTCCATAAATTTGGAATCTTAATCATACACCATAACTTCCCAAATTTGAGCCCAGTAATATTGTATGTAGTCAAATGTCAATTTTTTTCTTTTAATTTTTTTTAGATAAGTCAAATGTCAATTTTAGCCCTGTTAAAAATGAAGAATTTTTCTTCCGGCGAAATTTTGACGGAAAAGTGGCCGGAAGGACCATTTTTGCAAAAAATTCAATAGTCGTGGACTAAAATTGCAAGGTTCGAAAGTCATGGATCAATTCTGCTAGTGTCACTATAGTCGTGGGTCCAAAAGTGCAAGAAACTCAAATATTTTACAAGTACAAAATAATAAAATAAAAAATGCATCACATTTTGAATTATTACTAAAAAGTTAATAATCTCTACTGGAAGGTATACTCTGCTTGCTATTATGATCTTAACTAACAAAAAATTATAATTTGAGATAAATCAGTTTAAATTTTCTACAATTGAACAACTCAAATTAAAAAAATGAATAGGCTAAACTCATTTTAGAGTTGAACTTATAACTTTTAGTTACTAAATGCGTCATATTTATTAGTACTATAAATAAAAAGGATAAATTTTAATTTAATTTTTTCCACGACAATATTTATTACGGAGTATATGATATGTTAAAAGTAAATATTAAAAAATAGTAATTTTAATAAAATAAGCATTTTAAAAATATTAAACCTATCAACATTTTAATTTGATGCACGAAAGTCTAAAAACTAACTAGTGACCTGTGATAGTAGGTCACAAGGATTCCCACAACCCCCGACAACACTTTAGCACTATTTTCGATCACAAATCGATCGGCTACCAGCGCCGATCGCCGGTCACTTTAGGTAGCGTTTCAAAATAAGTTCCTAGTTTCCTAACATTTTTTTCCATCTTTATCCTTATTATTTTAAAGAAATAACATAATTTACTCTTCCCAATTAAAACCCTTTTCTCTTCTCCTTTATCCGCAACTTTCACCGCAAATATTATTATTATTATTATTATTATTATTATTATTATTATTATTATTATTATTATTATTATTATTATTATTATGATTATTATTATGATTTTTATTATGATTATTATTATTATTATTATTATTATTATTATTATTATTATTATTATTATTATTATTATTATTATTATTATTATTATTATTATTATTATTATTATTATTATTATTATTATTATTATTATTATTATTAGGGAAAATCAACGATTTGTTCCCTCAATTGTTAGCGAAATATCAATGTAGTCCCTTAATCGCGAAATCATCGATTTAGTCCTTGGAAATAACTGTTTTTAGTTGATTTGGCCCCTCCGACCGTAGCCCGTTGAAAATACGGCGACTGCTCCGATTTGGCATGGGTAAATTTGTCATTTTGCATTTTGGTCTTATTCTTTTTGCCCTATTTAATAAGGGGGCGGCGGTGGCGGTGGCGGTGGCGGTTCCAGCGGTGGACTGCAACGTGAATGGAGTGCGGAAAGAGCAGGTGCATTAGAGGGGAGTGAGGAAGAGGCCGTGGGGGAGGTACGCGGCGGAGATCAGAGATCCCGGGAAGAAAAGCCGCGTTTGGCTCGGGACGTTTGATACGGCGGAGGAGGCGGCTAGGGCTTACGATAATGCCGCGCGGGAGTTCCGCGGCGCCAAGGCGAAAACAAATTTTCCGTTGGCGGAGGAGCGGATTCCGCTCGATTTCTGCGCGCGGTTTGATATGAACAAGAATGCGTGCGAGAAGGGCGGAGGAGGAGGAAAGTAACACGGAGTTGTGAAATCTTGGATTGTCACACGGAGTTGTGAGATCCGAAGCAGCAGTGTCGGAAGACATTTTGATCCCTCAACTATTACCCATTTTGTTCTCTCGACTTTAGATAAAATGACGTTTACAACTTAGAGGACTAAATTGGGTATGATTTTACAACTTAGAGGACTAAATTGGGTACTTTTAATAGTTTGGGACTAAATTGCACATTACCTAATAGTCAAGGGACCAAATGGGTATTAACTCTATATACATTGTAGTTTCATTTCAACACAACTAAAGTTTCATTTTGTTTCAACTATAATTTCATTCGACACTATTCATACAATAGTATTATTATAGTGAGACATGTTATTGAATTTCATTTCATACACAATATAGTCTTATTAACACTACTAAATTCTAATTCTAATTCAACTACAGTTTCATTGGACAATATACACTTCAAATATGTGAAACTGTTATTCAGTTTCATTTTATATACAATATAGTTTCATTACAACACAACTAAAGTATCATTTTGATTTAACTACAATTTCATTTGACAATAAACTCTCAATATGTGAGACATGTTATTCAGTTTCTTTTTATATATACTGTAGTTTCATTTCAGCAAAACTAAAGTATCATTTTAATTCAACCATAGTTCTATTTGGCAATATACACTCAATATGTGAGACATGTTATTCAGTTTCATTTTACACATACGGCAGTTTCATTTCAACACAACTAAAGTATCATTTCAATTCAATTACAGTTTCATTTGATAATATAAACATAATATGTGCGAGACAAGTTATCAAGTTTCATTTTAGATACACTATAGTTCATTTTATTATAAACACACCAAAAATACAAAATTTGTTAAAATTTAACGGCAACCATTTCTTTTACTTAAAGAAACGGTGCCGTTTTCAGACCATGGTCCACAATATAGCAACTGTTTCATCCTCAGGTGGGTTATTACTTATTAGTCATATGGGCATCTTTGTGAATACTACGCAGTGTGAATACTACGCAGATATATGTTTCCATTCTAGATGATTGGAACCTTTGAGTTTGTGTTTTGTAATTCTTGCATTAACTGGAAGAATATCAGCAAACTCAATAGTTTACTTAGGAATATACTGCCCTATATATATACATACTACTCAAATCCCTATGTATATGGTTTCATATGCTATTAGAATAGGTTCCTATGGTTTCAACGGAGACTACAACAGCAACCAAAAGGCAAAAGGAAGAAGCTTGAGCCAGAGTTCTTTAGCCTCAGTGTCAGCTGGAAGACCAGACTTCTCATAACCCCCAAAATAAGTGGGCATAAATCTGATCACTAGGCAGCTTATATACCTGTACATCAATCAAATTCAGAGAAATGTGGATAAAAGTTGGGAATTTCAGGTTAATAGACACTAATGCAGGAGATAACATGCCTCTCTTTACTTTTAGGTGTGATTCAACAGACAAACTTTACTTTTTGACCAATTCATCATGACTGCTATTAATATTTTTTATATCAATTCAAGATCTGTTTCATTTTTTTGGCAGAATTTCTGTAGCACTCTTCATCTGCTTTAGTTTCAAGGTCAATCTCACCAAAAGGAATGCTTTTGATGTGTTCTTGAACATCTTTTGCTGCAGCCAACGTCTCCAAGTAACTAACAAATTTATTGTTTTGATCTGCAAGTGTTTGATTTTCTTGTTACTTAAACCATATGGAGTAATATACTAGCAATATAAATAATACAGAACTAGAACAATTATTCTTACCCAAATAGTTATCTGGACCTCCTTTATACGTCATAGGGATGATCAAATTATGATCCTAGATGGAGAAAGAAAAGATAAAAAGAGTATCATTAGCTAGACCAAATTAGAATATTACATCACATAATGAAAACAAAGTTGCTATACTTACAGGATTTAAAAAAGATTTGTACTGAGAATCATCAATGAGTACAGTGTTTGATGGATTGAATTCTTTATACTCTTTCCAAACTTTATTTAAATCTTTAAACATTATTTTTTTTTTGGAATTGCCCTTGACACCCTCAGTTGAAATGGAGCAATAACTCTGATTCTGCATAATAAAAAGGAAAATATTACTCAAAATTTTTACCAAGAGATAGATATTTTTTTTAGGTTAAAAGAGGAACTTACCCACTGAAACAGGAAAGAAAGACCCTCCACATCAGACAACAGTTTTCGACATATACCATTGATATTTTGTTTGGACGACCAAACAGCAAGAGTGAAGTGTCTTGAGCAAAATTTCAAAAACTCCTTATAAAATGGTCGACACACAGGCATGTTTCTATATACTGATTCATTTTACAAAACAAATCTAATCAGTTTGCCAGATAAATATATATATATATATATATATATATATATATATATATATTAGCTTAGAATTTTTAGTCAACCTGTTAAAACAAGCACTCCATTCAAATAAAAAATTAGAAGCTTCTTAGGTGGTTTATATTGCGCTTCCAGATCAGAAAGTTCCTTTTCAAGCTCAAAGGGACTTAATAACCGCTGCATTGCAATCTCCAAAATAAGAAGTTCTTTTGCTATGAAATTATAACCCTGTAAATACAAAACTTTAACCCTGTGATATATATTAAAGGGGAAAAAGAACTATCATACAAGATGCGTTTTAGGCTTCATACTGGATATGGAATGGAAGGTTGGCATCCCATTACCCAGCTCTGCATAAATTTTAGCATTAGTGGTCCACAACTGACAGCATCATTCTGCTTTGGGTATCCATTGACATAATAATATGTCCATTGTATATTTTTGCTAGTCAGCTCATTAACATTCCATCCCTACACCCAATAAATAAATAAATAAATAAAAATACTAAGATAAGTTATACATAGTAACTAAGACTGTACGTACTGCAAGTTCCTTAATTGGAGTATAGGAACATTCGGATCTCCCTATAGTATCCAAGACATAAATTTTCTCCTCTTCAACATCAGCAAAAACGCAGAACCAGTGATCCTCAAAATTTATTGGTACAAAAATCTGCAAAGAAAAGGTTTAGACTCAAACTTAATAATGGCATAAACTTAGATAATACATGTGGTTACCTTTTTTGCTGCTTTGAAGTTCTCCTTAGGAAATTCATCAAGGAACAACGCATTTGTCTTGGGATGCTTATAGAAGCTCATGGTCTAACTGCAAGGCACAAATAATTTTGTTAGCCTCAAGGGTGTAATGAACAAGGAGGAGAGATTAATTCAAGTAGTGAAGAAGCAGGGCCAAAGTTCTAAAGTACAGAGTAAGAAAGTTGCAGCTTAAGGGATAGGGCACTAAAACGACACTGCTTGAAGCATGAGTTCTTCCCAAACTACCTGCTGAATTTCGTTTCGTTTCCCTATTCCTCTATTTTGTATTTCTATTTTAGTCTCCAGGCCATCACAAAGTAGCTTATGCCAAATAAATTCCCATCTTACCCTGCTTGTCTGCAAGCAGTGAGCTTGAAATGGTGCGGCAAGCTATGGTGGCTGGAGGAATATTTGCCCTTATTTGAAATTCTTACAACTCCGTGTTGAATTTCTTCTCCCTATCCCTCAATTTTTGTATTTTTGTTTTAGTCGCCAGGCAATCACAAAGGGAAAAATGATCATAAAAGAAAATAAGTAATTCAAGAATACTATAACTTACCCAGAGTTGACAATTAACAAATGCATAATCCTTATATTCTTTCTGGAGTAACTTCAAGTAAATGTTTATCACCTACAATAATGAAAAAGATTTAGAATTTATAAATTTAAAGAGAAAATTGCACTTTTAGTCCTGTGACTATTGATGCCTTGTTAATTTCATACTCGACTTTAAAAACTATCAATTTAGTGGAACCAAGTCAATAAACATATGTGGAACGTGGATACGTGTGTGTTAACATGGAAGTGCAATACGTGGGGAGTGCATGCAGCATGGAGCATTAACTCTTTTCCTTCATTTTAGCATTTTGGTTGTATTAGTTTAGTATAAATAGTTTGTCTTATTAAGCTTTCTAATCATCAAGTGAAGTAATAAACATTTACTTCTATTCCTCTCTCTCTTCTCATTTATATATATACGTATATAGTTATATTATATATAATAAATATATTATAAAAATATATTATATTTATTATATATATCTTACATTTGGTATCAGAGCCAGTCAACCTTTCAACCCCGAGATATTTTTCGTAGTGAAATATGGCTGCAAATTTCAATATTGTATGGACGGGTCCCAAATTGGACGGGAAATTCGATTACAATTATTGGCAAATTATGATGTCCACACATTTGCAAGCTCAAAATCTTTGGAGCTTTGTTGATCCCGGTCTACCCGAAGGAGCTGATGCAGCCGCTATACGGCGAGATAAATTGGCCTTGGGTCAGATTCACCAAGGTGTTCATTATTCCATTTTTGGGCAATTAGCTCGTGCTCAAATAGCAAAACAAGCTTGGGACATCTTAAAGGTGTCAAACAAAGGAGTCGATCGGGCACAGAAGTCTAAGTTGCAGTCGTTGAGAAGGTTGTACGATAATTGTGAGATGACCTCTACAGAAACAGTAGATGCGTATTTCACTCGTCTTATTGATATGGTGAATAAGATGAGGCTATATGGAGATACGATTGAAGATGGTGCAGTGGTTGAAAAAGTTCTTCGAACTATGCCGATGAAGTATGACCATGTGGTGGCTTCGATCACAGAGTCACACAAAACTGAGCTCTTATCAATTGCAGAGCTGAAAGGTATGGTAGAAAGTCATATTGACAGGATTGCGTCAAAATCGGAACCACTAGCAGAAGAAGCTTTGAAGAGTCAAGTCACCCTTAATGTGACTGGCACTAATCAAAGAGGTGGAGGATCTGGTAGAGGTCGTGGAAGAGGAAGAGGAGGTTCTGGGGGAAGAGGTCGTGGTAACTTCAACCAATGAGGAGGACGTGGTAACTCCAACCAAGGAAGAGGTGGAGGTAATACCAAACAAGGTAAATTTCCATTTCATTGCTACAATTGTGGCAAACATGGACACAAGATTGCAGATTGTTGGTATAATGAGGACAACAATCGTGGAAATCAAGCAAACATTGCTGAAAATACTGCTGAAAAGTTTGGTGAGAGTTCTGAAACTTTACTTTTAGCCAGTGATAGTTTTTCTGCAGATAAGAACATATGGTTCTTGGATACTGGGTGTAGTAACCATATGTGTGGGAAGAAAGAATTGTTTTCTGAACTGGATGAATCAGTCCGGTCTGAAGTGACATTTGGCAATAAGTCAAAGGTGCCAATTCTGGGAAAAGGTAAAATCTCTATTCAGTTGAAAGATGGTACTCAAAATTTTATATCCGATGTGTTCTATGTTCTGAACTACACCAAAATTTGTTGAGTATGGGTCAGTTGTTCAGAAAAAGAATATAAGATACATATTGCTCAGGGGTGTTGTACCATTGCTGATGCTAAAGGAGTTTTGATTGCAAAGGTAAATACGTCTCAGAATCGACTATTTCCTTTGAAAATTAAGCATACTCTCCTTGCTTGCTTTAATTCTGAAGTTTGTGATGAAAATTGGTTATGGCATATGCGATTTGGGCATTTCCATTTCTCTGGATTACACTATCTTGCGAGAAAGGAACTTGTTTCTGATTTACCTGTTGTGAATGTCCCTGATCGTATATGTGAGATTTGTGTGATTGGGAAGAAGCATAGAGATCCCTTCCCTGTAGGCAAGTCAAGGAGAGCTACAAAACAGTTGGAGATTGTTCACTCAGACCTGTGTTCGTTGGAGGTTCCCTCACATGGAGGTTGTAAGTACTTTATTACTTTCATTGATGATTTCAGTAGAAAAACATGGGTTTACTTTCTGAAGCAAAAGTCTAAAGCATGTGATGTTTTCAAACAATTTAAGGCTTTTGTTGAGAAGCAAAGTGGTTATGAAATTAAAATCTTGAGAACTGATAGAGGTACAGAATATATTACTTTGATGATTTTCTAAAAGAAAAGGGTATTCAGCACCAAATGACAGCTAGATACACTCCACAACAAAATGGAGTGGCTGAGAGGAAGAATAGGTCTATCATGGATATGGTGAGGTGCATGTTGAAATCTAAGAATCTGCCTAAGCCTTTTTGGGCAGAAGCTGTTGCTTGTGCTGTCTATGTGCTGAATAGGTGTCCAACTAAAAGTGTCCGTGATAAGACACCCGAAGAAGCTTGGAGTGGGAGAAAACCCTCTATCAAATATCTCAAGGTTTTTGGATGTTTGGCATATGCACATGTGCCAGATCCATTGAGAAAGAAGTTGGATGATAAAGGAGAGAAGTGTATATTCATTGGTTATAGTGACGCTTCCAAGGCTTATAAACTATACAATCCTGAAACTAAAAAGGTTGTTATAAGCCGTGATGTCACTTTTGATGAATATGGTGCTTGGGATTGGTTAGCTAAAGATGAAAGTTCAGTTGTTATTCCTGCTGTTGAAAATATTGTTGAAGAGCAACCGATTCCAGATAATGTCCAGTCTCCTTCACAGCCAGAGTCGTCAGTTCGGCGATCTCAGCGCGAGCGCCACTTACCAGCTCGCTTGCAGGATTATGTTTTGGGTCATGATAATGACCTGTTTGATGAAGAGATTGTTCAATTTGCTCTCTTTGCAGATTGTGATCCTTTAACTTTTGAGGAGGCTGCTACAGAAACTCATTGGCTTAAGGCGATGGATGAGGAGATACGTGCCATTGAGAAGAATGGTACCTGGGAGTTAACAGATTTACCTCCTGGAAAGAAGCCAATTGGAGTGAAGTGGGTTTACAGAACGAAGTACAAGTCAAATGGAGAAATTGACCGTTTTAAGGCACGGTTAGTAGCAAAGGGTTACAAGCAAAAACCAGGTATTGATTATTTTGAGGTTTTTGCTCCTGTAAGTAGACTTGATACAGTTCGAATGGTTATTTCTCTTGCTGCTCAAAATGATTGGAAATTGCATCAAATGGATGTCAAGTCTGCTTTTTTGAATGGTTTTCTTGAAGAAGAAATATATGTTGAGCAACCTGCGGGATTTCTGAAGAAAGGGGAGGAAAATAAAGTGTACAGGTTGAGAAAAGCCTTGTATGGCTTAAAGCAAGCGCCTAGGGCGTGGTATGGTTGCATTGACTCATATTTTGTTGAAAGTGGTTTTATGAGATGTCCTCATGAGCACACTTTGTATGTCAAATGCACGGATTCTAGTGATATTGTTCTAATCTGTCTGTATGTTGATGATCTGGTTTTTACTGGAAATAACTTGAAGTTAATCTCAGAATTCAGGGAGACACTCATTAAGAGGTTTGAAATGACCGATATGGGCCTTATGTCTTACTTTCTTGGCCTTGAGGTTGTTCAGATGGATGGTGGAATCTTTATTTCACAAAAGAAGTATGCTGCTGATATTTTGAAAAAGTTCAAAATGGAAAACTCCAAACCAGCTTCAACTCCGGTAGCTGAAAAGTTAAAGGTGTCCAAAGATGAGTGTGGTAAGAATGTGAATGTTACGTCTTATAAAAGCTTAATTGGGAGTTTGAGGTATCTGATGGCAACAAGGCCAGATATTTCTTTTGGAGTTGGAATACTTAGCAGATTCATGGAGGAACCAAAAGAATCACATTGGGCTGCAGCAAAGCGAATTCTGAGATATGTCAAAGGTACAAGTAATGATGAAATTTTTTACTCTACTAATGAAGCTGTGGAACTTGTTGGGTACACAGACAGTGATTGGGCTGGAGATGTTGAGACTAGAAAAAGCACATCAGGATATGCGTTCTATCTTGGTTCAGCCATATTTTCTTGGTCTTCAAAGAAGCAGCAGATTGTAGCACTTTCAACCGCAGAAGCAGAATATGTTGCAGCAGCAAACTGTGCTACTCAAGCAGTTTGGCTGAGGAGAATTTTGGAGTTCTTACAACACGAGCAGGAAGCACCTACGACTATTTTTTGTGACAACAAGTCAGCAATTTCGTTGTCCAAAAATCCAGTCTTTCATGGTCGTAGCAAACACATTGATATCAAGTATCACAAAATCAGAGAGTTGGTTGCTGAAAAGCAAATCAACATTGAGTATTGTTCAAGTGAATGTCAAGTTGCAGATATCTTTACGAAGCCGTTGAAGACAGAGACATTTCTCAAATTGAAGAAGGAAATTGGAATGACCAATATACTCAACTTGGTTTAAAGGAGGCAATGTTATAATAATAATATTAATAATATTATTGTTAGTTAAACCAAGTCAATAAACATATGTGGGACGTGGATACGTGTGTGTTAACATGGAAGTGCAATACGTGGGGAGTGCATGCAGCATGGAGCATTAACTCTTTTCCTTCATTTTAGCATTTTGGTTGTATTAGTTTAGTATAAATAGTTTGTTTTATTAAGCTTTCTAATCATCAAGTGAAGTAATAAACATTTACTTCTATTCCTCTCTCTCTTCTCATTTATATATATACATATATAGTTATATTATATATAATAAATATATTATAAAAATATATTATATTTATTATATATATCTTACAATTGCAGTTGCTTACATGTCTTCATAAGCTTTAGAATTTGAGAGTTGATCGCAGCTAAGGTTTTTCTCAAATCATTTGTTTCTGCACTCATTTGAATTCTAAACTCCTCCTTTTGTTCAACTAAGGCATTATTAATCATATGTTGGACTTTGTCAATTGGTACTAAGTTTTCAGGGTTTTTGACTGAAAT